AAAGCCCAGTGGAGGCTTCAGCCCAGGCTCTGCTCTCACCTCACGCCAGCTGGGCTCCAACCGCCTCTCCGTCCCTCCCTCCTTCCCTCCCTTCCTCCCTCCTCGATGCTCTCATGAGCCAAAACTTTTCATGTCAAAAAAACTCCTCGCTATTTAAGGCAACTGCCTGGGTCTGGAGGTGGAGAGCTGCTGCTGTCTCAGAAAATGCACCATGGGTTGCCACGAAACCCAGCAAGCTCTGGGCTACAGCAGGGATGAATGGCAGAGCCATGAAAACCCTGCTCATCCCTCTGGTTGTGGTTTTTCTTCTGGTTAAAGGCAGGAATTAGGGCCCCATCTGCAGAAGCACAGAGTGGTTATAAGGGACCTCTGGAAGTCATCTGGTCCAACACTCCTGTGCTTAAGCATGGCCAGCCAGAGCCAGTTGCCCAGGACCGTGTCCAGATGGCTTTTGAGTATCTCCAGGGATGGAGACTCCACAATGTCCCTGGGCAATCTGTGCCAGTGCTTGGTCACCCTCACAGTGTAAAAGCGTCTCCTGATGTTCAGAGAGACCCTCCTGTGTTTCAGTTTGTGCCCATTGCCTCTTGTCCTGTCACTAGGCACCACTGGAAAGACCCTGGCTGCATCCTGTTTGCACCCTTCCTTCAGGTATTTTTATACATTGATGACATCCCCCTGGAGCCCTCTCTGGGTTGAACAGTCCCAGCCCCCTCAGCCTTGCCTCTTGGGAGAGATGCTCCAGCCCTCTTAGCATCTTCATGGCCCTTTGCTGTACTCTCTAGTCTGTCCATGACTGTGTCAAACTGGGGAGCCCAGCACTGGACCCAGCACTCCAGGTGTGGCCTCACCAGTGAAGAGCAGAGCAGAAGGATCACCTCCCTCCACCTGCTGGCAAGCCCAGGATCTCATTTGCCTCCTTGGCTGCAAGGACTCAATGCTGTCTTATGTTCAAATTGGTGTCCACCAGGACCCCTAGGTCCTTTTCTGACAAGATGCTTTCCACTTGGGTGGCCCCCAGCATATTTAGGTGCCTGGGGTTGTTCCTGTCCAGCTGTAGGACTTTACACTTCTTCTTGTTGAACTTCATGAGGTTCCTGCTGGCCCATGTCTGCAGCCTGTCAAGGTCCCTCTGGTCCCATCAGCATGATGCTCTGGTATATCAGCCACTCCTCCCAGCTTGGTGTCAGCAGCAAACTGGTTGAGGGTACAACTGCCCCATCATCCAGATCATTAGTGAAGATGTTAAACAGGATAGAACCCAGTATTGACCCCATGTGTACACCACCAGTGACTGATCTCCAACTAGACTTTGTGCCAATGATCATGACCCTCTGGGTTTGGCTATTTATCCAGTTTTTAATACAACCCAAGAAGCCAGGAAAGCCAGGAGCTCAGGAGGTCGCAGCTCCGACCTCCTCCTCCCAACCACCGTGAGATGAGACCATCGCTCAGGGCTTTCTCCAGCTGGGTTTTGCAGACCTCCAAGGGTGGAGGTAGGTTGGGCTGCTCATCCTCAGCTCTCCTTCAGCTGTCCCCAAATTTTGCTCCCAGATTGGCTACAATACCTTGCATTTTCTGACTTTCTGCTCATACACTGATGGAGGAAAAGGTAGTCCTGGGGGGCACTGGCGGACAGGGTGCTCTGAAGGTGGCTGGTGGGTGAGTCAAAGGTGAAGAGGGTGGGCTGGCTGGAGTGGGACGGTGCTGAGGACTTGCGCTCTCGCAGCAGGTGGTGGCTGGCACCGCTGAGCTCTGCTGGGGAGGATCGTGGTGCGTGGTTCATGGAGGC